TGGTTTGGTTTTTCAAGACAGGGGTTCTCCGTGGCTTTGGAGTCTATCCTGGAACTAGCTCTTGTAGACCAGGCTGGTCTCAAACTCACAGAGATCCGCCTGCCTCTGCCTCCCCAGTGCTGGGATTAAAGGTGTGCGCCACCAACACCCAGCTGAGCATCAAGATTTCTAAGACAGTTTTGGCTACATAGAGTTCTGAGTTATCCTGGGCTATTTGAGGATCTACCTCAAACAGCAACAACAACAATAATTTTTAAAAGGCACATACATGTGGAGATACACCTGGGGAAAGAAAATATAGAGGATACATAGATCTCATGTCCAGAAACACAGAAAGGAAGAATGAAGCATCAGTCATGGGGGAAGTTATTAATGAGGACTGTTTCCATCACTATTCCACCAACTCTACCTGTTCAGGGTTTTTGTTTGTTGTTTGTTTTTTAGGTGGAGGCCTAGAGCCAATGCCATGTGCATCTAAGCTCTGTTCCACGGAGCCATTTCCTCAGACCCCTTACCTGTCAATCTTGCTCATCTCTGAAACGGACCTCAAAGGCTACATCTCCCAAGAAGCCTTCTAAGCTCCTCCCACTTGAAATGAACCTTTCTTCTCTTCTTCCTCTGTTCTTGCCAGTCTCTTTATTATAGCTTGTGCACTCATAATTTGTGCACATCTTATCTCCTTAACTAAATTGTAAGCTTTGATTCAAGAGCCATTGATTGAGGCCTGTTCCATGACTGAGACTCAGTAGACTTGTTAAACTGAGGGAAAGGATAGCAGCTCTCCTCTGTGAAGTACTTGGAAGTCGGCCTTGTTTTATAATTTTGTCCAGTCAACCATGCTAGGACAGTTCACAACCCCTAATGGGAACTGAGTGTACTTTTTTTTTTTTTTTTTTTTTGGAAGTCCTGCATTTCTGAATTAATCAGCGTCAGTGTGGAGAATACGGGAGGAAGGGTCAGGTCAGTAGGCAGAGGTCTCAAATGATCATGTTACTATCCTGAACCTGGGCTGTAATCTGGCCTCTGATGCTGCCCATAGAGCAGACCCCTCTCTGGACCCCACCTCTCAGCAGTGATGGTGATAGTGACCTCTCCCTCAAGGGCTATTTCCTGCAGGTCAGAGGCAGATTCATGGGTCAGGCTGGTTGCCAAATCTCCTTAATTTCTCTCCACCTCCGCCTTGGCAAACCCCTTCCCCTCTTTAGGGCTCAGGTCCCCACCTATGCCAGGGGAACAGCCCCACCCCGATGCTGCTTTGAGATCCAGTGTGGCAGGGGTGGGGTAGGGCCAGGGGGATGGGAGGGGGAGCATCCTGTGTTATAATTATAATTATCACACTTTGGATCCTATCACATGCTTTCAGAGGAGCTCTTTCCTTCCCACGGATTCAACCCTCTAGGTACAGGAAATCACAGGAGAAACTGAGGCATGAGGGTGGGAAAGCAGCTAGATCACAAATTCAGTGTCCCATCTGCATTGGCATTTTCATTCACCATATACTCTTCCCCTCAAAGTGTTACCAGGCAGAATACCTTTGAGCCCCTGGATGGTGGGACCCTAAATCACTCACCCCAACTTTAGTCATAGGGAAGCCTGAAGGGAAACAGAACTCCTCTGAGGTGGAATTAAGGTAAGGAACACACCCACATCTTTATGGCTATGGCCAGGCCCTAGTAAACAACCTTAAAATGGGGGTTGCAGGTGCCACTAGCCAGAGAGAATAAGGTAGCATCCACACCTGTAAGTGAGGTAGGGATTTTTCTTTCCTCATCTAACAAATATTCATCTTCAAGTCTTCTCTATTTCCTCAGTCCCTTAGTCCTATAATGTCTCACGTGGACCACATTCCTGAGGAATATGCTTCATACTCAGGCCCTTTCTGTCCTCTTCTGGGATGAATCCCAGGGAAGCCGCGTTTCAGGTCAAAGGCGATTCTAAAATAATGGTTATGAAAGCCTTTCAAGACCAATGCCTATATTCCGAGCTCAATCCTTTCTTCAACATTGAGTCCCCATTCCCCTCATGCCTCACTACCTACCCTCCTCCCACCTACATTCTGAGTTCTAAGAATGGGGACAATTCAAGCCACGATAGAAGGCATCCTTCGCACATGCCCGTGTCTGTGTGACATCGCTGTGCACAGCTGCAAGTGAGCATTCACTCAACAGACACCTAATGAAAATCACTGTGTCAGGCTCAAGGGAGGTGACAGAGACACAGGACACCTGATCCCTGCCCTGAAGGGCCCCTCAATCAGGAGAAGACAGACAGACATATATATCTGCAACAAATTACATCTCACCAGCACGCATTTCCTTTTTGTGTGTCTGCGTGTCACTAATATACGAGGGACTGCCTCTGTCCATGTCCATGTGGATGTCATCTACATGTGTCCAAGCATCCACTTAAACTGGTCTCAGTCCCCATGGAAGGCTGCACACCTAAGCCAAACCGGTTGGAGAGGGTTATGCTGAAATTTTTGTTTGTGACAATGGGACCTGGGGTGAGTCAGGGAGGGACAAGGCTGGGTGGAGTGGTGCGGGGGAAGGAGAGTGAGAGTGAGGGTCAGATTGAGTGATCAGAGGGAGGGAGTGGACCACAGTGGGAAGGGGTGGGGTGGGGTGCCGGGAGAACGGGCCTGGGGTTGAAGGAAATGAGAGAGCTCTTCAGTGACTGATAGCCTGTTTGTCTGCAAGGTCAGAGGACAGACGTGAGCTTGAAGAGAAGCCCTGGCATTGGGAGAGAGGAGGGTGAGGAATAAATCAGAACGCAACTGGGCAGAAGCTTGGGTGTGGATGAGATGCTGGTGCCGTTTCTGCACGGCTTTGATAAGCTGTCCCGCATTTGTTCATTCTCTGGCTTCCTGCAGGGTTTGCACAGAAGGCCGTGGGTGCCGACTGACACGGTGGAAGACTCCCGATTGCTGGACTTGATTCTATCCCCAGGACCCAGGCTTCACATCCACTTCTACTGTTCCTCCATAGGATGCCTCCCACTTATGAGGAGAGACTCCCCCTGCCTCCCCATACACAACACAGGGGCTCCAGAAGCCATTCCTGCACTGAAAAACCCCCAGCTTAAAACCTCACTAGGCTCAACATTGGAATGGTGGCATCTTGTTTTCCAAGCTATTCCATCTAAATGTTGATATGTGCTGTGCTGTTCTTATCTGCCAGTCATGCAGTCTTGATACCCAGCTCTTGTCTAAATGACGGCCACATTTCCTGGTTGCCTAACAACATCCCTTCGAGCTCAGGGGGCTGGGCCTACTTGTTCCTCAAGGGTTCTAAAGCTGGAGTAAGCCACCCAGGAAAATCGAGGGTTGAACACAAGGCATATCTGGGTCCTGTTTCTCAACAGAGCCGGTCGAATGCAGAGCCCCTCCTCTTTGCTCTCACTCAGCCTCTATAAACACACTTCCGAAACATCAGTGACAAGAACACCGGTTAAGAGACAAAAGCCTTCATTATTTTACCCAGTGTTTATGGATGGGATGCCGCTTTTAGAAGGCTGTTGGAATAGGCCCTGGCTGGCACGGGATGAGAATGGGAACTCTCATGGAAATTGGGCTTCTGAGTGGAGACAATAGCAGCAGATGTAAGGGCAGGGAGGGGGTGGGGTGGGGTTGTGTTCAGGAAGCCAGAGTCAAGGTAAGGGGG